AAATTTTTCAAGCGGCCGCAAGGCCCGGCAAGGCCGGCCCGGAATATAGGCATCCTACACTGCAGCAGCAGCATGGCAGCCTGCAGGCAGCAGGCCAAGAAGAGATCCGGTCCGCTATGCCATATTTTACGGTGGGGACGCCGAGCGACGCGACGCGGCGTCGCGCATGCCATCGGCCTTCTTGCTCCGCTTACTCCGTAAAAAAGGGCGAGCGCGGAAATTTCTTTTTCGCAGTGCAGGGAGGTCGCCTCGGAGGTCGCCCTGTCGCTGTCGCACCCCTTTGGACGGCCAAACGAATGCGGCAGAGAGAGACAGCGGGGCGTTCGGAATCGGACTGCCGGTCGCATGAGCGCCGGGCCGGGCCGGGCCTCCTGCTTTTCGCGGCACCAAAGACGGCCATAGACGCGCGCTGCTGCAGCAGGTCAACAAGTCCGTCGCGGCGGCGGTGCGGCGGTGACGTCCTGACGGCGGAGGCGGCACTCGGCAGGGCGTTCACTCCGCATCGACCGGGCCGGGGCGGCCAGGGCCCACGCCGCCGTCGTGCCGTCGGCGGGCCTAGCGGGGCTCCACGCCACTTCCGGGTCCGCGCGGCGTCCCCCGCGGTCCCCCGCCACGCCAACCTCGTCATCATTTTTCACCCCCAGCCGGCCCAGCGCCCCGGGGCCGCCCTCGGCAACCCTCGGCTCGTAATGACAGCGATAATGGAGTCGGGCGGCACGCCACGGGCTGATTTCTACCTCTGTCTCTCTCGCACTCGCGGGGCGCCCCGCAGCGGTGCGAGAGAGACAGCGCGACGGGGCGCGGCCCGGAAGCAGCCCACAGGTGCATTCAGGCATTCGGGGCGCCGCAGTCGCGGTCTCGGGGGCCGGCAGGCAATCGATCCAAAAATTAGTTCGCCACTTCGGGGAACTACGACTAGTGTACCACTGCACTGCTTGAACACACACACGCTCACCGGCCTGGCATGGCCCTTTTCCCAGAGCCTCACCCCTCCCCCTCCTGGGCTGGACAAACCTGCTGCATTTTGGATGGGGCGTCACGGGCTCTCTAGGCCAAGCCGCAACCCGATGCCCCGCTGCGCCGCGCTGCACGGACATGCAGGCCAGACGTTCAAAGAAAGGACGCTCACCACGCAAAAAGGAACCAAGCACACTTTCAAAGGCGTTTCCATGACCCACGTTTGTCGAGCACAAACAGAACACCAACAAAAAAATTCGCTGCCACTAGAACAACACTTCTAGGGAAAAACGAAAAACATCTCTAGGGATGGAAAGACTAAAGGGTTTCGTGGGTGAACTATTTAGCGTAGCGTACCTCTCGTAGCCTGGCCGCCACGACGGCGAGGCCGCGCGCGTCCGGGAGCACGCCGTGCCGCCACCTCGTGGACGTCGAGGACGCCATGGACGGCATGGGGGCGGTGCGCGGGAACACGCCACTACACTAGGTACTACACTGCGGTGGCCAGTGGGCCAGGGGGCGCTCTCTGCTCCGGGGGTGCTGCCGGCGCACTGGTGGTCTGGCCGGGCCGCCCCACTGCAACACCACTGGGGGTCCGCGCCGCCCCCTCCAGGCCCCCTCCAGGCCTCCAGCGCGGCCAGCACGGCAGGGGGCGCAAACTGGCAGTGCAGCGGCAAGGGCCCAAGGGGTGCACGACGGGAGGGTGGAGGGGCTGCGCTCGGGGGAGGCCGTCGTCGGCGTGCTGCGCCCTCATTCCGAAGGAATCTGTCTGTCTCTCTCGCACCCCAACGGGACGCCCCACGAGTGCGAGAGAGACAGACGCGGCCGGGGCCTACACTGGCCTCCACGCGCCCCGCCAATGCCGTCAGGGTTGACCGGTCACGCTTTTACACCCCCATAACGCACACGCTTTACACGAGGCCGCGCGGGGGGCCGGCAACTATAAAAGTCGCCACCAGGCGCCACCCGCAGTGCCAAGCTGAGCAGCGCACAGTGGGCAAGAAGACCGGTACAGGCGGCCAAAACTCTAGACGCGTTTTGAGCTCCAGAGTCGCTAAAGGGGACTCGAACCGAACGTGTGACCCCTCCAATAGATTGCTCTCCGAACGAGGAATCCATTGGTGGGGTCACACGTTCGGTTCGAGTCCTAATCAGCGACTCTGGAGCTCAAAACGCGTCTAGAGTTTTGGCCGCCTCCACCGGTCTTCTGGCCCACTGTGCAGCGAGACACATTTTGTCCGCAGAATAAAAGCGCCCTAGCCCTGCCACACAGTGTGCCACACACTGCGCAAAGAGCGCCGCGTTGTGCCGCGCGGGTCGGGGCGTCCTTGAGTCGTGCTCCACGTGGCGACGCAGCGACGCGGCCACGCGGCCAGACGGCGGGGTGGCAACCCTGGCAACCCCAACCCGGCTCACCCCCACGAGCCCATCTATCCTGCCAAGGACAAGGCGGGGCGGGGCGGTATTAGATTCCTCCAGATCCAGTGATGCGGGAGCCATGCGAGTACCCACTCCGGGCCGGCCCGTGGAGGGGGTGGCTGCCTCCAGCCGGCATGCTGACGAGGCTGACGAGGGGGAGGGGACACCCGGAGCAGCAGGCATTCCTACCCCCAGGGAATGCCAACCCAGCCAAACTCACATTTTACAGTGCATACCGCACCTCGCTATAAGCGCCGAGCGATACAAGCATCACGACGCAACTCCAGTGGTAAAGTTTGACTCGAACTTGAATTCGGACGTTTGCGAATTTAGACTGGACTGGCACGCTCGCCAGCGGGCCGGCAGCAGACCCACCCCCCGCAATGCGGCGGCAGGGGCAGGGCAGGGCAGGGCAGGGCAGGGCAGGGCCACAGAGACAGGCGGCCGCTTTCTCGTCAACACGGCCTGCCTATGGTCTGCCTGGGCCGGGCGATTGTGCTGTCCAGTAGCTCCATCTCCCTCGCACGCCTGCGGGGCGACCCGTGAGAGCGAGAGAGACAGAGAGACGACACAGGACTGGCCTGCGGCCTGTACGGCCAACCCTATCTGCCGGCCGACGCGATTACCGCCCCGCCTGCTTGTCAGTGTAGGAGTATGTGTCGCCGTAACCACTTGCGCTTTCACTGCTCGCACGCACCTTATCAGTCGTGGACACTGCCGCACGTGTGCGTGTGTGTGTACACACACACACACACACACACACACACACACACACACTAGGGGGAGAGGGCATGCTGGTGCGTGCGTGCGGTCAGTGTCGACACCGGCAGCCGAATGCGAAAAACGAACCAACTTGAACCGCGCGACGTGACCGAATAGTGAGCGGCACCAAATCCCAGGAATCAATCCGAGGGACAGAGGCGGCCAGAGTGAGACAGAGAGGCTTCATTGCGATGTGGGAGCGTCGCGGAGTCTGGCACGTGTCGACGAGGGGCGCTGTTTGGTGGCTGCGCTGCGCCGGGCTGCGCGCCAAAGCCCGGCCAAGGTCACCCCGGGGGCGGGGCGGGGCGGGGCGGGGCGGTGGTCCACGGCCGGCGGGATGAGAGAGACAGAGAGAGGGGTGGCTGGCACCCCGTGGCGCAGGCACCGCCAGGCAGGCGGCGGAGCTGGGAGCCCCTCTCCTACCTCACGGTCCGCTTGGCCACGGGCAGCACGCAGCGCGAGGCCTCGACGCCGAGCCCGGCCGGCCCACCCCCGCGTGGAAAAGTACGCCGAGGCGCAGTGCGGGTAGTACGACGGGGCGGTGCTGGTTCACATGGCCACATGCGGAGAGTACGCGTGGCGTAGTATCGAACAGAGCAAACAAACAGACAGACGCACAGACAGACAGACGGACAGACACGACAGCAGCCTCTATCGCTGGTGCCAGCCATTCATGCATTCCACGTGATAAAACCAGTCCGGGTGAGCGGCGGCGTGTACCGCGAGCCATGTGCGAGCCAAGCCGGGCTTATTTGGCAAATATATGATACGTCTGTCTGTCTGTCTGTCTGTCTGTCTGTCTGTCTGCCGGTCCGTCCGCCCGTCCGGAGGGTGTCACCGCCGATCCGATGCGCATTAATTGCAGCGTCATCGCGGCACGGCGCGGCGCGGCGCGGCACGGCACGGGCCCGCAGTCATGGAAACATCCGGCCCGGACAAAAGGCAAGCAAGCCTGGCGGGCCCCGCGTCGACAAAAGGCTGCTGCCGCCGCCATGAGGCGGCAAAGGCAGGGACGCCGATGCAGCGACGCAGCGGGGAAGTGCAGCAGCGTCCACGGCCGGCCAAATTCGATGCAGCCCGATAATAATCGCAAAAAAAAACCTTGTAAAATTTGTCGCTTTTTTGCCCAAAATGGCCAGCGAAGCATAGCAGCGCAAAGGGCAACTTCTTTAAAAAAAATAAAATAGAATTCTTATTTTAGTGACTCCATGCGTTTTTTTTTTTTGCTTTGCTTTGACGGATGGCGTCGCGAGGTGCCTGATCCGCATGCACGCCACGCAGGACGCCACGCAGGACGCCACGCAGGACGCCACGCTGCACGCGCCTTGCGCGCGCGCTGCACTGTGGGGGCGGGGCCAGGCGGGGCCGGGCGCGGCGGCGTTGCATGCAGCATGCAGCTGGGACGCAACGCGAGGCCGGGCGGGGCGGGTCTTCTTCCGTCAGTATAACACCTCTAGCCGGGCCCAGGCCTGCCCAGGCCGCACCCGTCGCCGCCAAGTCAAGCCAAAGCGCCGCGCCGATCGGCGATAGATACGCGAGTCCATTAAAACAGCCATCGCATCGACGGCGTATAATCCCCTGGCGACGTCAACGCCGACGTCACACAGTGGGCCGGGCGGAGGTGGACAAAACTCTAGACGCGTTTTGAGCTCCAGAGTCGCTCAATGGGACTCGAACCGAACGTGTGACCCTTCCAATGGATTGCTCTGCGAACGAGGAATCCATTGGTGGGGTCACACGCTCGGTTCGAGGCCTGTTTAGCGACTATGGAGCTCAAAACGTGTCAAGAGTTCTGGCCGCCTCCACCGGTCTTCTGGCCCACTGTGCGTCAGCGTCCCGGACGGACGGCAACGGGTACCCACCATCTTGAGGGTCTCCTCGGGCCGCAGCAGGTAGAACATGGACTGCAGGTGCTGCTGGATGTCGCACCGGCCCGCCCGGTCCGAGCGCGCCATGCGCTCGTGGGGCGGCAGCACCAGGGCGGCCCCCTTGCCGGCGAAGTAGCACTCCGACAGGCTGCAACAAGAGAAGCACCTCGTCACTTTCCAGTGTGTGCCACAGTGTGCCACAGCACTGCAAGGCGGACCACCGCACGCCCACTGCTTTGCAAAACAAAAACAACAACATTAGCATAGCGCTGACGCCAGTTGAAAAACAAAATTCTTCTCCCGATTTCAAGCTGAACCAAGTCCAAGACGTACTAACTGCCGTCGCTCGCGAGCCTGCGAGTGCAGGACACAGGTTGTGGCCCCCTAAAAGCCCGAGAGGAGAGGCAGTTCGTTACTCTTGGGGCCGCCGTCCGCTGTCCGCGCCACTGCCTCCATAACGTATTGCCGCACATTTGCCTGAGCCGACGGCAAAGCTCGTTCCGAGCAGTCGCTTCATCGCTCTGTCTCCCTCGCACTCCAGCGCGACGCCCCACGAGTGCCAGAGAGAGGGAGGGAGAGAGAGGCCTCCTGTTCGGAGTCAGGGGGACAGGAGTCAGTCTGTGGCATGCGCCGAGTTGCAGCAGCCAGATCGCCGGGCTGCGTCTGAGTGAGTCGTCCAGCGGCACGGCGGCAGTGACACTGCAAGGAACACCGGCCGCTGCCCTGGCGGCGACGTCGCCCGCGTCGCCTCACAATTTCATTCCAAAACCAGAGGCAAACTCAACGAAACTTGATCTCAAATTGACAAAAACCACGTTTGCCAGAGTTTTCCTCCGCCCTTGTTTCCGGAGACACCCATCTTTGTTGCCGTAGCAACCCGATGAGCCACCAAAACATGGAGGCGGTTTTGGCATCGGCTCCTCCGTGGCGTCTTTATCCCAACACGTCCACTTTTGGGTCTTTGACCGAAGTTTTTCGGCTTATATGGCCGTGCGTGTGCCTTGGCAGCGCCTTTGGCAGTGCATTCGCACGCACCCAACCAGGCAGGCAGCCTCGGGCCGTCCCAGCTTCCAGCTCCAGCCGCAGGCCGCTGCAGGGGCTCGGATTGCTCTTTAACGCGCGGCCGGCATGATGGCCGGCATGATGGCCGGGCCGGTACGGCGGACCGCAGGGACAAAGCCCCAAGGCGGCCCGACCACATTCTGGACGAGTTGCCTTACTTGGCGGAATGCCTCGGCAAAGCCAATGTCTCCGAAGCGCCGTCATCGCCGAAACGCAGCCGAGCGAAACCACGCGCTTCTCGAGCCAAAGGCACAGACGGAGACAGCAAGCCGTCGACGCACAGTGGGCCAGAAGACCGGTGGAGGCGGCCAAAACTCTGGACGCGTGCAGCTCCAGAGTCGCTAAACAGGACTCGAACCGAACGTGTGACCCCACCAATGGATTCCTCGTTTGCAGAGCAATCCATTGGTGGGGTCACACGTTCGGTTCGAGTCCCATTTAGCGACTCTGGAGCTCTGCACGCGTCCGGGATTTTGGCTTTAGCCGCCTCCACCGGTCTTCTGGCCCACTGTGCGGCGTCCATCCCGACAGCGTCCGCTTTCCTTCCAGTGCTGACGCGCGCATCTTCTCCAGTGAGATACACTCGACGGGAAAATCACCCAAGGCCGCATGCCGCCGACTTCCTGTCTCTCTCGCACTCGCGCGGCAGCCGCGGCGTCCCTGGCCGTCCCGCGGGGGCGCGAGAGAGACAGCCGCCCGGGGGGTTCCCCTTCGGGTTCGCCGCGCCACTCGCGGCTGGATCATCAATCGCACGGTCGCGCTAATCAGCCGAGAAAGACGGAGACAGAGAGAGAAATAGGCGGCGACCGAAAAGGCGCGAAAACCAATTAGGCTTCCAGGCGGAGCGATGCGGAGCGGGGCGTACACTGTACAAAGCCTTCCCCATTCCGTCTTCGAGTGCGCGACTTGGTCGAGTTCTCCTCAGCAGGAAAAGCTTATCATAATCTGTTTTGCGGTGTGGTGGTGTCGCCGGGCCGCGCCGGGCGGAGGGCGGCTACCTCCGCGCGTCGAACACGTCTTGCACAAACAGGAGGGGCAGGACGAGCAGCGCGCAGCACAGCGAGGATCGGCGGATAAGATTGTTTGCTATCAGTTTGGACACTTCCGCGAGGGCGGGGCGGGGCGGGGCGGGGCGGACTCTTTTCGAAACCCGGACCGCGAGGCGCTGGCCCGCGAGGCCTGGACAGAAGGGGCCCGACCCGCGGCGTCCGGGCGTCGCGAAGGGAGGGGAAGGCCAAGCCGCCAGGCTCCGAGATAAGCCAAGGTCATCCATTTATCCAGCCATCCCGCCGACCCACAGTCATTTCCTCGGCGCCTGGAGCCTCACTGGAGCCTCCAGCGGTGTCGACAACACGGAAAAAAATAATAACAGGAAAAACAAAGACTTTTCAATGTCAGATGAGACTAAAATTTCGTTTGAAATTAAAAACGGCAGGACACAATGTAACTCATGTGCAATCTTGCGAAAGAAAAATAATTAAAAATGCGAAATTTGGAAAGTTTGTATGAGGCTTTAAAAAAGCTTGCGAACTTTTGGCAGAGACACTGAGATAAAAAAAAAAAAAAAACTACTGAATGTCAGAGCGCTTTCAGTTGGCGCGAACTTCTATCCAAAAATAAAAAAAAGAGAGAAGATCGGAAACGACAAAAAGAATATAAGGAATAATGTTGTGGAATTCCAGCACGCGCTGGCGCCGCTGGCACGCCATTCCCGTTTGGCACTTGGTTATTTTTTTCCTCTTCTTCTTGGCGATGCAAATCAGCGAATCGCTCACTCCATCATCGCGGGGCTCTCTCTCTCTCTCTCCCCCCCTCTCTCTCTCTCTCGCACCTTATCGCGGTACGCCCTGCGAGTGCGAGAGAGACAGAGCGATCAGTCTGCATGGCGATGATGAAGCACGGGCCGTCCGCGTCCCCGCAGCGCGGCAGCGCGGCGTGCAGTACACTCGCGGCCGTCAACAAACCAAACACACGGCCATCGGGCAGCCGTCGTCGGCCAGCCCGTCGCAACACAATCGGGTTTGTTTTTGCCCCGCCACCGCTAAATGCCGCCTCTCTATCGATGCACCATGCACCCAGCAGCCTGCGATTAGACCACTATCTTCCTAGTCGCATGCACACGACCACACGATTAGGAAAAAAAGATTTTAAAAAAAAGTTGCACATTAGACTCCCACGAGCCGATCCGGTTGCTGGGCACGACACTGCTGAAGATATTTTGGCGCGCGGGGACCCTGCTACGTATGCATAGCCCTCCGAATTGCATTTCGATCCCGCACGCGTGTGGCACGCGCGCGGCAGTGCCGCGACACGGCGGCACCGCGGCCGAGCCGGCAAATTCGTCACGTGGCAGCCTGTCGCCAATCCCGCCCCGCCCCGCCTCCTTTTGGCGGTGCCGACACTAAATATACACACCGCGGCAAAGGACGCAAAGGCTGCCAGCCTTTTTCCAAAAACTGACCGCGCCAACGCTTCGCGGGACTCGCGTTCACCACCACGTGACTACGTGACGCGGCCCGTCCGGCGGGGCGTTCTCGCCTCATCGGGGTGGCCGAGGATCTCCGGAAAGCTCAAGCCGCAGCTGTGCTGCCGGCCATAGGAACTAAGCCGCAGCCAAACCGTGCCACTCCAAATCCAAATCCACGCCCTGGTCCGTCCGCTCCAAGCAGTGTACGGGATTAAGGACGACGGGCGCTTCCGTTGGCCTGCGGCGCGCGGGTCGCGAAGGACGCCGACGGGGACCTTGGCGACGACGACGACGAGGCCGCCGTCAATCTCCATTGCGACGCGGCCGCCTCAAACGGGCGCGCCAACAACTAGGCCGACGTCCACGACGTCCACGTGTCGCCACGACGTCCACGCCGAATGGCGTCGGTGCGTCTTTGAGCCGGGCACGCGCCGCACGCGCCGCACGCGCCGCACGCGCGCTCGTTCCGAAGTGCTTCCGTCTCTCTCGCACCCGCAAGCGACGCCCCGCCGAGTGCGAGGGCGACGGCATCTCCTTCTCTCTCCCTCAACCCCTCGCTGAAAGCGCGGCCACCGCGACAGCAGTCTCGTCCCCGTCTCGCCGTCTCGGCGTCAGGTCAAGCACATCACAAAGGTGCACGTCCTCGCTGGGGGCCCCTCCGCCGCCCCTCCACTCGTCTGTCTCCTTTCATTATTTTAGCGGACAAGGGGTGGCGCAGGCACACACGACGAGAGACGCACTCACGTCACGTATGAGGCGGGCAGTGCGGCGGCGGCAGAGAGACAGAGAGAGATAAATGTAATGCCGCTGCAGACCCCTAGGCCGTCCCGGCGAATTAGCGCGACGGTAAACCAAAATAAAACACACAGCACACTGATTCCGAAAAGTGTTTACGTCGCCCTGCACTTACTCATGGGGTGCCCACAGTGGGCCAGAAGACCGGTGGAGGCGGCCAAAACTCTAGACGCGTTTTGAGCTCCTAAGTCGCTAAATGGGACTCGAACTGAACGTGTGACCCCACCAATGGATTCCTCGTTCGGAGAGCAATCAATTGGTAGGGTCACACGGTCGATTCGAGTCCTGTTTAGCGACTCTGGAGCTCAAAACGCGTCCTGAATGTTGACCGCCTCCACCGGTCTTCTGGCCCACTGTGCGTTGGGGGTGCGAGAGAGACAGAGAGACAGAGCGACAGACAGAGCCCGTCTACGACGGGACGCTCGGGGCGCAGCTAGGCGAGGCGGCCAAAACCATGAACCGACCGACCAAACAAACGAAAACAACAAGAACGGACTGTCCTTTTCCGTCGCGTGGGGGCGGATCGAGACATTGTCAGATTGATTCCAGCGAGCCGCCACTCGGTCGACAACGCAAAGAAAGTGGAGCAGCATGCTGATCAGACATCTAGACACCCCCCCCCCCACACACACACAGGCGCGCAGAAAAAGGCACGCGTCTGGGACAATCGGGTCGTAACGACACTTGGCATTCCAACAAGTCCTGCCTGCCTCTGCCACGGCGGCGGCCATTGACCAGGGCGCAGAGCGAGAGAGAGAGAGAGAGAGAGAGAGAGAGAGAGAGAGGAGAGAGAGAGAGAGAGAGGGGGGGGGGGGCACTTGGAG